CAATAGAAGTGTAGAGGAGGACCTACTCTTTCAGAAAACATATAGCTCTGTTAGATTGGGTCTTTGATCTTTTGTACAACGGTTGATAAATCCAAGGTGTTAAAAATCGGCGGAAACTTTTCGGACAACCCAATATTAAGAATTATAAGGCGGAACAAATCAAAGAAGTAGTTCAACTTCCGTTTCGCCCTAGACGGAAGTCGAAATTCACAATACTCTGCCTCCGTGGTCTTCAGTATTGTAAGGGAGAACAGAAACTCATGTTAAATTTATATAATAAATAAATAAGTTAAGAAGTGTTGGATATATAAATGTACAGGAGAACACTGGCAATGGCAGTGACAATGCCCATTATTGTACGTTACAAGAAAAGAGGTTAATACAAGTAGGCTTTGAAAGGCAATATGGTTACGGAAAATAGGAAGGAGAGTTGGGAAGGCACTAAGCTAGTAGGAGTAGTAAGGTGATGTTAATTGAGTAATGAACTTATACCCGTCGAAATTTAATTAGTTATTTAACTGATAGTATCATAATACGTGTCTAAAATTTTAATGAGTGGTTTATAAATTAAAGGCATAGTTTACGATAATCAGTAGGCAAGGACGTCAATGGCCTTCCCTCCTCTCGATCGATGTCACGACAGACGGTCAGACGAGTGTTGAGACAATACAGATTGCAACTATTCGTTCTAGGACCCACACACAATCAGCTGATAACCGAGTGATGAGGCGACCTTTTTCCCCCGTTCTTTTTCCCTCTGTTATTCTTTTTGCTGCCGCGATCCCTTATTTAATTTCCTACTCCCTGAGGATGAAAAAGGTGAGCAACTTCTGCTGTTACTAAGGTTTTTTGTTTCTCGTGCAGCCCCCTGTTTAACGATTTTTCGAAGCCTTTTTTCACTTTGGAAACACCGATTCAAGCAGTTTCTCCACCTTCATCGCACTATTTTCGAACTTCTTGTCCATTTTTCATCATAATCTGGATTATCCAAAATTATCGTGAACTGTGCCTTTAAGTGGTAATTACGAGTTATAAACTTATTTCTAGCTAAACATTTTATAAGACCCGTAATAAAAACGTCCTTAGTATAACCCATTTGGCATGCTTGAAGTCCCTTATGCCTAAGTCTATCCAGGAAATCATCCTTATAAGTACACGTCCTGGGGGTTCTTAATATTTCCGTATACTGTGCTAATTTTAATACCCTCAGAAACTTGGTAGTATAGTGTGGGAAACGCTTGACTAGGAATCCAAAGCTATCCGTCTTATTATACATCTTGGTGAATATATTACCTTCTTCTATAAATATTTGTAAGTCCAAATAGTTACACCTGTGCTCATTTTCATGGGTTATTTCCAAGGTGAGAGTGTTATTATAAACCAGCCCAAGCTCTTGTGGAATTGTATCAGTACGTGAGTTATGGATTATAAGCAAATCGTCCATGTAACTGAATGGTACAAGAATTTCCAGTGCACTTCAGAACCACCCATGTTCCAGGGCAATCTTTACAAATACCTAAAAGGTCGAAGATCATCATTTCAACCTATATTCAGTGGATGTACATAGACACGCACCGTTTTTGGAGTTAATTCATAAGGGTCCTCTCCTGTTTCCTTTCCAGACGACCGCCACCCTTGCCAGCGTTACAATCCGTAATAATCCGTAATTGGAGAAGTAAAGAAGTGTCTGCTTTATAGCAAACTTCTCCGTCTTCACGGTCACAAAGTTTATCATTGATGACCATCACTGGACCATCACTAGGACTTCGCTCGATTGAAAAGTGTATTGAAGCCTTTGCAAAANTCGAACCTGCAATCTTCTGCTCCGTAGGCAGACGCGTTATCCATTGCGCCACGCGGCCACGTGGCGTCATGTATGTGCATTCGCAACATTGCCGACGCGCATCACGCATGATTATGAGTTATGCGTGATTGTTTTATCTAGTCAAAGGTATAGGAAGCATAGAGGGACAAGTGAGCTGAAAAGCGGCACATCGGCCTGTCGGCCATAGGTTGAGGAAAATTACCCATTAAGAAATAATATACTTACGCTGTTAGGAAAAGCTCAGATCACAGGAAGAGTTGGTTACTTTCCAGGCGTGTAGGTAAGGGAGGGTGGGATTGGGAAGTATTTAGGGGAGTAGTCAATAATCAATTAACCCCTCCACGTTGTGCCATCCTTTCCTGTTTTACTGGGCCTAGAGATCAAGGAATCATTTCCCGAAGCTTGTTTGACATCCCAGATCGTGTTTACTAATGAAAGGTCAGTACGTTTGAAACCAATTGACAGATGCGAATTACGATAACCATGAGTTGAACTCCTTGATTGGCTTGAACTTCTTTTACTGATCTTGGCGTACCTTTACTGAAACAATCAAGTAGGCCAGGGTTCAGTAGGTCCGAAAAACACGAAGCTTGGTTTCCATACGAAGATTCAAGTGGCATGCTACGCTCATCTAAGGATATCATCGGTTCCCCTCTCTAATCCTAACTACTATGATTTTGTTTCTCGAAGTTGCAATGAATAGTTTGTGACTAGCTGTCCAGATGCCCTTGACCGCTCTTTTCATGGCACGATGAGGGAGCAACATCAATCGCGGAGTGACGTGCGAGAAGATTCTGTGCCTTAGAGCAGACATTAGCTAGGTACGTCATCCTTAGGTATCGTGGTCGCGTGGCGCAATGGATAACGCGTCTGCCTACGGAGCAGAAGATTGCAGGTTCGAATCCTGCCGTGGTCGGAACTTTTTTTGCCATGATTTAAATTCTCTGAGTCAGACTGGTACAGTTGATAGTGACAGCTCACGAACAATCTTGATTATGAAGGAAAGCCTGAGGCTTCTCAGTTGGATCCCCTTATCTTCCCATAACAAGTCACGTTATCATGCTCACAGAGCAAATGAGCAAGGAGAAGCAACAAGGAGGCACATAGCCTCTAAGGGCTCATCTAAGGCTTCTTGTTATTATTCTCTCTCCCATATACTGCTGATTGCCATGAAAATAAGCAGTAGCACAGGCTGCATTAATCCATCACATTAATAAAGGGCTCAATTTCAAACATACCAGGATGCAGACAGTGAAAAAGAATAATTTCGAAAATACTTGCTTTTTCTAGAGAGAATTGTTATGCAATCTCTCCTATGGATAAAGCAGTAACTTAGTATGCTTAGTTCGATAGCCAGTCTGTGGATTTGTACGTCTCTTAGCACCAGATCCGTCTGAACTTCACAAAAACTATAATACCGTGGCTCATTAGTATGGCTTGAAAACCCCTCAAAGCTGATCTGAAGTGAACAGAAAGTTACAAGTGGAGTGCTACTGTCACTTATCCGGGTTAAAGTCTCAAAAGTCGTACGGCGTTAATCAATCCCGTCTGAGGGATGCGCCCCCGCATTCGACTTCCATTCAGAAAGGTATTCGAAATCTTCCACCTTCGCCCTAGTACGGCCTATCGGAAGGAGAAGAATGAACAGAAGACTTTTAATTACCTGCTTATCACAATAAATTAAACAAACAATAGACCTAAAACAGCAGCTGAAAACGAATCTGGTAAAATAACGCTAGGTCAAACGCGCTTGATATGCAGTCATTGTATTACAATTAATATTAACTACCGTAATTTTAATCAACCTCAACAATTACAGCTAAATTCCGGATTCTGTACTTATGAAACATTGGAAAAGGAATTCCAATATGGCAACATGACTGGCGAATATAGATGTATTACGCAAGTGGAAAGCACTTTGACTTATAAAACCCACTAGAGAACCATAAAACGATGGGCTATTTCTACAAATACTTGCGCACTAATTACTAAATTCTAAAATGATAACAATTAGATAATAAAACTGAAATCAGACTTAAAATCATGGAATATTCAAAGGAGTGACTAGATCACAACATAACCATGAAGGAGAACATGATAACAAAAAGAAAACAAAACAGAAAGAAAACAGGACCGTCTCGTATGACAATCACTGACTCCCGAAAAGGTTCTGCTTGGCTTGCTCCACCTGAACAATGGCATTCACGAAAGCTTCCAGTTTTTCAAATCCAACATCAAAGCAATTCAAACCGCACCTCGTTGGAATAACCGGGATCTTCCTTCAAAACATCACGAACTTGCATCAGTACTTCACCCATAACATTAGCACCTCGCCATTTTGATGGATCAGCAATATTCGGATCATCTTGAACATGATTTATCATTTCATGCCAAATGTTGTTGCCCACACGAGCTGATGGGTGATTGCACCGAAATTCAGGAAAGCGACAAATAACTGGTATCAATAGTCAACTAGAGAACTCAACTGGCAAGACACCTAATCGAAGTCTTAAATAGAAGAAATTCTACTTCTGGAAAATTCTTTGCAAATGACGCCACCACCAGAAAAGGAAGTCGCAACATGGTCACAAAATGAAGATTAATCACCGAAACATTAGCAAAAAGTTATAGTGTAGAATACACAAACTCAAAACAAGGCTATTCTTAAAAATTTTGGTTGAAAGTAAATCCTTCTTCACGTACCTATGGAAAGACCTATACCCCAGTACGTGTCGTGAACATCAGCCTCTACCAATGTTGATCCAATCGTTCGGAAAAGTTGATACCGCATCCGTTGATTCTGTTTGAACTGAAAGCTGTTGAAATAAACGAATTCTGCGTTTCCCATATATGGCACTATTTCCCATGAATTGCCCTCCTAAATCCCGTAACTCAAGGGCTCATCCTGATCACTCTTCTCCCGTTGACTGTTATTCTGAGTAGGCTTTGCTATCTACAAGGGCTATGCAACACTACTTCGAGGGTGACACTCTCAATCCGACAATATTAAAAGAAGCCCCGGGCGAAACACCTCTTACATATTCCCATTTATGAGTTTTACTCTAGTTAATAGATAACACAAACTAACTAAGACATCATTCAAGAACATATCACTCATAATTTTCAAAGACAAACCTTCGCCATAGCAGCTTTCATTCTCACTTTCCAAGAAAACTTCATCCATTCCTTCTGGTTAACGTTCTCTGTAAGCACTTTAGAATAAAAACAGGATTGGAAAATAACGGAGGATGACATGTCATAAGCCAACTTCAGTTCTCCACCATTTCTTTCTTATATAAAAAAAAGCAGATGGAATTTTTTTCGCCAGCGTTTGATTTCATTTTAGGGCTTTCTGGTTCTTCTTCATCTTAGAAACTTCTTAGAAATCGTTAAATTTGGGAAAACAACAGAAAAGAGTTATAGGAATTTGTTAAAAAAGAGTAATAATCCGAAATGCAAGCACGTTAGTTTCAAAAACGAAGGGAAGAATAAGAAACGTACTTAACTGACTATCTACTTGTTTGATCATTTTCGGGTCTTTCAGGTACAAAATAGCGTTTGCTGCGCTGAAGTCCTTGCAGAATTCTGGAAAAAATATCATATTCCAGATGTTAGAAAAGGATGACATCCAGGAATCATTGCCCAGCACTCACTGGCTTTAGACCACATGTAATACTGTTCCGCATTCGAAAACTTCTGTTCATGAATAAGCAGCCGCCGACAGACGTGGTGGTTAGAAAAGGCATGCGTATCTAACGAGTAGGGTATGATATTTCCCTCAGAAACCATAGACTTCAGAACCGGAGGGTCTATCAGTTCCTGCAACGAATACAAGCTCAGAAAACTGTGTGATCTCTCAATTCTTACAGCAACGGAACTTGAGGTTAACTAACCCCTTCATCCGACTCGTCATCGGATTCCTCATCGCTTATCGGCTGCATCATGCCCTTTTCTTTTGGAAGACCATTAGTTTGCTACAAAAAGTTTTGTAATTTCCTAGATAGAGGAATGTCATCAAAATAGCCCATTATGTTACACAAAGAAAGGAAGTGCCAGCTTAAAAAACGAAAAAAAGAACACAAATGATCACCTTCTTAGTTGAAGTGTCATCAGAAGGTAACGATGTTAATAGGGGAGACGACTCTGCCTTCACTTCATCTGAAGGAATCGACGTTTGGTTCACCGCTGTGGCAGCAGCCGGCTGAGGCTCTACAGTGGGTGAAGACTCCAAGTCCTTTGCAGGTTGAGGTTTCTAAATCAACGATTCGCGCTATCCAACACATAAAATTTCATCAACAGCAACCACCCAAGCACGAAGACAAGAAGCTTACAGGCTCCTGTTTAGACAAGGCGGCTCTTCGGTGAGGTATTATAACAGTTAGAGTTTCCGACTTGTGCACATGCGCGTCTTTCGTCGAGAGCTTGAAAAAGAAACCAGTAAATCGATAAAAACGCAATTTCAAATATCTCTACCACCTCAGCATCGTCCTTTGCTGGCCTTTTCCTCGACGATGGACTTTCCACGTGTGGTCCCTAGGACGAAAACTGTATGCCACCAATAACTCAATAAGGCCTTCAGACGTGCTTTGTCTTGATAACATGTTTGATAACGAGTAAAAATCCAAACCTGAAAATCTCTTCGTATCACAATGTCACGAGCCTTCCTGGAAAACCCGTCGGATGAGGAGGGAGCAGGCCGTTGATCTGGACCTTTACTGCAGAAAACCACCTCCCTTCCCTAAAAACTTGCTTCAATACATTGAAAATTACAGGGCAAGCGACAACATAACTGTAAAAGAGGAGAGGAAAACAACACAAGACCCACCGCCTCTTTCGATTTTGGCAGCATTTGCACATCATTCCTATTTGTAGATGGCCGATTCGCAATGCCTCCACTTTCCTAGAATGCCAAAAAATTAGCGCGAAATGCTGTTTTACGAACATAAAGTTCACAACTACATGAATTTAACCACTATAAAATAATGGTTAAGCAAGAGCAAGATGATACAAGAGATAACCCAACAAAGACAGATAGTAGCACTCACATTCTCACGCGTGTGTCGGTATTGCTCAGGATGCTCGCAAGACAGACGTGATGATATGGCCGAAAGAGGGGCGTATATGCGATTTCTAAAGGAGGAAAAATGAAAGTGACAGCAGGCAATAAATGTTGATTGTCGGAATCTTGAGAAGTAGCTCCCCATCACCCTCAAAGGACAAAGCTACTTGCAAATTGATTCAAATGAGCCTCTTTATAGCTCGCCATCAAACAAGGAAAGACAATGCAAAGTAACTTCGTTGAGTCATGGCAAGCTTCTCATTGCCCGACAGTAAACCTCGTAAAGCTGTGTCAATCTTTCAAGCAAACAATGTTCCCACGAAGACGGTAAACAGAACAGATATTTCCTAGAACTCGGAAGAAAAACCGAACGAACCCATGTTGTTTTTCACAGTACCAAAACTGGTCATTCAATAGTAAGAAATCGAACTGTCTATGTTAAATTCATCATTTATACCTTTTATTATCTGGCGGATTGGTGGAAGTCGATGGCTCAAATCTAGTGAGTTCTACGCTTCTCGCTGATGTGCTAGGCTGTAAAACGGCATTTTAGTCATAAAACGAATGAATGAAAATGGCAAGAATGAATTTTAAGAGCCCAGTTTGTTTCTATTAAGATTCCCACAAACTCGCTATATTCTTTTAGTATGATTAGCTTTGAAACTGAATTTTCAAGAAAGCGCCGGCGCCACCCAGATATCTGTCTCAAATCGATCCAAAGTACAAGTAGCTTTGGTAAGCGACGATTGGTCAAAACATCACCCGTCAAAGATAAAAAGTTTTAGGCCTCTTTAGCACGTAGTTGAATGTAAAGCCAAGAAAAAGAGATACCTTCATCGAGTTGTCGACAATAACCACGTCGTCCTCCAGAAATATTGGACACCTCGACTCAAACTGCGGTCTGAATGTGTTCATTGAACGAAGAGAGAGGTAGGAAGGTCATGCTAATGTTTGCTTAGGATGGTACAAATCGGTTGCGTAAGAGTAGAGACCAGCTTCCATAAGGGAATAAAAATAGTGTGGTCCGATAAAGCTAACAGGTTCAAATAAGGAATGAATCATTCTTTTTTGACCCCACTTAAAATTCTGCGGAGATACTTTTTAGAGCAGACACGCTGATTCGTCAAATGAAGGCCATAGAATGAGCATCAACCTTGGCGGTAACAGATCTTAAACAAATAGGCCGCTATACCAGCAAACAAGTCAAAGCTGAGCAACCACAAACGGAATTCCTTCGGTACAGACGGGCTAATTCAAGCTTGATTCGCGAATGCAATGGCCATATGACAAAACTAGAATATGAATTGAAAATTTAGAGATGCCAACGTCGTGCACATCACGTTTTTTA